ATAGTGCCTGTGTTGCGATATCTCTTCAAATATACAGGGAATTAAGAAAATATATATACTTTTTAAATGGAATGCACTGTAGATATGAATCCCTTATATCATATATTCGAAATCAGGATGAATTGAGGAATTCAAATTATCAAAATATACGGCGCATTCCATTTGAAAAAAATATATTCTTTTGTATGCTCTGTATATTTGAAGATATATTGCATCATTGCCAATATGAGTGAAATCTGTATAAAAAATTGTATAAAATGAGCTTAAATTTTTTTTTAATGAATGTGAAACAAAAAAGTTAAAGGGGAGTTAACATTAATAAAACTTGCCCAGTACAGGGTGCGCCTCTTAAAATGGAACCCTCCCTTGACTCTTTTGATTTCATTGATGTGAAAAATTGTAGAATCCAAAAGTTGTTTGAAACGACCCAAACTTTTATCTTGTGAAGTTGCTTCATATACGTTTTTCCGGAATGGACAGTTACTTTGATTTTTTCATTGGAACACCCTGTGAATTTCCTGACAAGTCGATAGAATTTTTTTTTCTGATTTCAAAAATATGTATGAGTTGCATATTTGTATGGAAATTAATTGAGTTATTGATGATGAAAATTTCCCAAAATATCGCATCTTCCATTCAAACTGACCATTCCTATTTTTTTGAATTGAGATTGAATGATTTCAATTTCATAATAACAATATATTGCTTGAATAATATATGAACATTATTTCAAAGCCCTTCAACTTACATTAGATGATATGAAGGGAAGGTTCATAATGTGGTACTTTGGTAAACTTTGATCAAAAATAACTCAAATATTTTTTTTTACAAATATGTGACTAATATATATTTTTGAAATCAGATTGAAGGCCCTATGGACATGTTGGAAAATATATATAGGGTGTTCCATTGAAAAATCAAAGTTCATGTCCTTTTTGGAAAAACAAATGACCCTGTATATAAAACAATTTCACGAAATGAAAGTTGGGGTCGTTTCAAGAAACTTTTTCATTCAACATTATTTCATATCCCTGAAACCAAAAGAGTTAAGGGTGGTTCCATTTTAAGGCACACCCTGTATACATGTGAAACTACTGAGACTATTTTCTGAATATTTTCAAACGGTGGTTTTCCATAACGTTCATTTCAAATGAAATATTTTCAATTTTCTGCAATTCCCGGTAATAACGGAAATGGACCTAAATTTCGTTATTTTGGCTGGAATGTACCATTTTTTATTGCATTTATGGAATCTACGTTAAATTTCGATGGACCTGCATTCAGAACATCATAATATGTCTAGGGTACGCCATTTTTGAGTTATAAAAATATTTTTCGAAATCCATGCTTGTCAGACCTAGAATTTTCAGGATCTACATAATTGAGACTAACAACTACCCAAATTTTTGAAAACTTGAAAAAAAAAGAGTTTTCGAATTTTTCAAATAGTAAATTTTTTCTCCATTTTCTCAAGACCTTGTAGGATATTTTCCAGAAGTTTTCGAAGATCTGGGGAGACATAAATACTTTTCCCAGACCAGCACTTTTGCTGCTTTGGATAATTCAAAGTTCAGTGTAATGCAGACTACTGTAGGCTTTTAATTGCATGTTCAATATTGTCAAGAACGCATCATATTTGAATAAAATACTTAACAAAAATATTCTTCAATTATGTAGAAAAATATTAAAAATATTAAGACAAAATTGGATTTCGTCAAATAAATATTTTTTGTAAGGTTCTGCATATTATGTCAAAAATTTGGAAACATTTCGAGTCAAAAAACTCAAAATTGGCATAGATTCCAAAAATGTAACGAAGAATTTTACAGTCCATTCCATTCAAAATAACGAAGTTGAGCTGCATTTCAGGTATAACCGGAAGTTGCAGAATACTGAAAATAATTTAATTGTAAGGAGCACATTTGAAAACCCTTTATAAAAAATGTCAAGAAGCTAGATTCAGTAGTTTCGCGTATACATATCGATTCAGCTCGTTGTGAAAGACCCTTTATAGATTGTCTAGAAATATTAACAGTACTTCATATAACTTTTTCCCTAGATCCCGTTGTTTGTTGTTTTTCTTTGATGACTCTGAATCAATAACTGTGTTAGGCCAAAAACCGTTTGTTATCAAATAAGTGTTGTTTTCTGAAAAACTCTGCTATATTTTGTTGAAAAACATTCAAGTTATCTAAAATGAGCAGTTCTCGAGACTTTTGACCAAACATAGACATAGTATTTTTTCATCTATTTGATTTAGGAGATTATAAAAAAGGTTACTTTTTCTTTTAGAATGAATTTCTGTTGAGCTACAAATGAAAATTATTACGTAACTTATCCACTCACCACTTGAAAAATACATATTTTTCAATAATTTAATTTGTTATTGAAAATGACGGAAAATGCGAAAACAAGCTTTCATTTTGTATCAAATATCTTGGAAACTGTTCATTTGAACTCCGTTGAAGGTTTTGACAAATAAATAGCAGGGAATTCGAATCAGCTCATAGAAAATACTGAAAAAAAAAAAGAATTACAAACAACCCCTATTTTGTTTTTCATAAACTAGTTATTGTCCACTAGCAAGCACAAAAATTAATTATGCTTCTCAAAAATAGAAACCTCACTGTGCCATTTATTATTGAACAAGCCAATAGTGAAGTTCAGCTTGCTTTGAGAGATGAAAAATATGCCTTTTCTTACCGTTCTAGGTTCCCACGGAAAACTAATAATACTTGTATTCTGGTAACACAAAAAAAAAAGAGAAGAATCGGAGAAGAAGACCAATCTAACCACAATACAAGAAAGGTTCAAATATCTCGGAAAGCTCGGGAACCCTTGCCTCCAAACCTCAACCGATTCAATCTTGTAACCGATCGTGACACGTACAGCGACGACATGCCCTCTCATAAACAATAAATAATTACAAAAAAAAAAAGATACATGCTGATGTGTTCCCTGGTCGAAGGGCCGCCCTGGTCCCGCGCCGACACTAGGCGATTTCGGCGGCCATCTCGTGGAATGTCAATTAACTGTCACCGAGTGGAATTTCACACATCGCTGGAATAGAATATAGTCCAAGAGCCGGCTTGCAAATTTCGTCCTGTCAACTAATAACGAAATGATGCCTATCCCAAAGGCATGACAAAACATTGTATTTTATTGAACGACACCTGTGCCAATCACTATTCTGAGCAAAATGATTGAAACATTGCACTTTCCTGTGCGGTAATTTGCTCCCAATTTCGCGATTTGATAACAAGATAAGAATCATTATACCATCCTACTTGTGCCATCCCTTAATCTGAGTCAAATCCACAGCACAGCGATTTATTTGCTTCCTTTATTCCGGACATACTTCCGTCATGTGATGACTAGTTGAAACAGAAAGCAAATGAAAGGAGGTAATGTCCATTTTTGCGAATATCCAAATATGTCACGATTGAAACTGAACTAAGTTAGTGACAGGGCGTCAATATTTCCGAGATTATTTCGCCCCTTTCGAAAGATAATATCCGATGGACCAGTGTAAAACACAACATGTAAATTTGAATACCTGTAGTACGAGCACCACATGAATTTTACACTGGTCCATCGGGTATTATTTTTCGACAGGGGCGAAATATTCTAGTGAATTTAGTGAAGCTCTGCCACTAACTTAGATCAGTTCGAATCGCGGCACATTTGGATTTCCGTAAAGGGGACATTACTCCATTTCATTTGCTTTCTTGTCTCAACTCGTTATCACATGACGGAAGTATGTCCGGAATAATGGTAGCAAATAGACTTTCCCAAAAAATTAATGCTCCACCGATAAGTATCAAATAGTTTGAGACACGTTTTTGTCGAAACTACTTGTCCGATTTTTGTTTTCAATGATTGATTATCTTCTTCTAAATATTGGCGTGAAAACCTCTTTTATGAATACGAGGTATTACCCTGTGGAGTGTAACAGTTGCGTTATCAAGTTGAAATTGAAAATACAATTTAGCCTTATATTTTTTCAACATCACTGGAAAGTCTGTGAAGGTCGCATGGACTTCGTGATCATAATGGAAAGCCTCACAGCTGAAAGGTACATATTGGTGATTATGGAACCACATAGTGTAAGTATTTTTGTTGATGCAACTCGTCCGAGTTGTGAGAAATTATCTAGAAGAAGTCTGTATCGCTACCATGGCATGGCCAGCTCGGAGCCCGGATTCAAATCCCTGGGAAATTCTGGGGGCAAGTTTATACGAGGAACGTAACTTGAATACTATGGAAAACGCACGGCAGAGGCTGAATACTCACATTTGGGAAGACCTGGACACTAGGAACAAATGAATTTATTAGACTATTATACAATTCAAATATAAAAAATTCGATAAAACGGCCAACATTATTTATTCCTCATTTTTCTTGTGGAACGTTTTGGTGGAACATTCGCGTGGGCCGTTTTTTCCTTCATCACCCTGTCCACCCTTTTCAGCATAGGTTTGATGATGTGGGAGCCATCATTAGAACTCTCCTTGGAAGACAATCTGAGACTCTTTCGCGAGAAGATGGTCTGGTTTAGTGACGATTCGAATGATGAGACGTCATGTAGAACTGACATCTCATTTCTTGTGATCTGTTTCACTCTACTGAGCCTTTCATTATTTTCTTGATTGTTGATAGCAATACTCTCATCTTTATTTTGAGTATAAGCCGTCTTTCCCAAGAAGTTATTCATGCCCGCTGCGGAAATACTCGCTACTGATCCTTTCGGTTAACTTGTCATTGGTTTTTTTATTTCAATTTGGATATTAATTCTCCATAAAATCATGTTACCCTATAAAGTGGTGTTTCACAAGTCATACAAAAGATAATGGAGTGAATCCAAGGAATAAATTTTGAAAAAAATAAGGCTAAAGTCGAGGCTAAAGTGTAATGTCAATCGTAACTCGATAGTATAACTATTACACTCTGCAGGTTATTAAAAATTTCATGAAAAAAACAAACGATGAAATTGCTATACCCGGTATGTATAAAAAAGAGACTTCTATGCGAATAAAGTTTGCACACCAATATTCAGATGAAAATAAGCCATTTAGAACAGAAATCGTCCAAATTGAACAAGTAGTTTTGACAAAAATGTTTCTTGAACTTTTGGCTAATTTTTGGTGGTGCATTAATTTCTTGGAGAAGTGTATATCGTTGTGCCGTGGATTTGACTCAGAGTTGTTTTCATTTTCTGCCTATTGCACAGGTATAGGTTTTTGAGATCTACCATTCAATTGGTATCGGATGGCATTATTCTAATTTCGTTATCAAATCGCTAAATTAAGATCCAATTTTCATTCAGTTTGCTCAGGTTAGCGATTGGTACAGGTGCAGTTCGATAAAACACAATATTTTCACATGCCTTTGAAACTTGTAACATTTCACCATCAGATGTCGGTCGAAATCGGCATCGAGCTCCGCCACTAATAGGCCGCCCGTCACGCGGCATAGTCGATCTTGTCCCAGGACAACGAGCCGCCCAGATCACTGACCGCCCGGAATTCGTCGAGAGAGAACGGGTCGAACGGATCATGCGCGATGCCGAGCAAAGGATCGCACCCCGCCGACGGGTCACTCTCCCGTCCCATTTGCCCGCCCCCCGTTTCGGACTCGTAGAAGCTATCGCAGGGCAAGAGTGATTCCAGCCACTCGTCCGTGTCCATCGCCATGTCGTCGCCCGCGTTTCCGTTGGAGGGGGCAGCTGGGCAACCACCGCTGCCGCCCAGCTCCATCACCAGCTGGGAGAAATCCATGTTTTCCAGATTGTCCAGGCTCTCGAGCAGATCGGTCGGATCGATGCCGAGCGCGGCCTCGGGGCTGCTCGGATCCACCTGTAACAGGACGCGTCATTGTATAGTTGCGTCCTGTTGGTTGGTTATTTTTCTCCAAGCGGCATAGCAAGTGGCTTTTCTATGACACTTAGCAGGCAGAAAAAGTGTACTTTCTCTGCCTAGGCAAAAAAAGGTTGGTTGCTATTTGTTTATCAATTTATTCGCCACTTTAGGTTGCTAACAGAACAAAGTTCCAGAAAACAGTATCCACTTTGTAAGAATTATTCTAAGTTATTTCTACAATCATACATAAACATTACTTATCACAATAAAATTATCAGGCAGTAATACAAATGTGATTTAAAAATATGGCATGAAAATGTTTTTATATTAATAATATAGTAAAAATTATGGGACATAATAGATCATAATAGAACGAGTCCAGGAAATGAGGAACCATTTTTAACTATTGATCTGAGTTGAGAAACATACTTTTCAAATCAAATTTGAAACGAGACAAACATCGTTACAGTGTGTGTTGAATGCTTTTTGCATACGAACTAGTGGCGAGTTTCGTCCTAGATTAGTTCTACAATAAGGGATATTGAATGGGGTATAATATCGAAGATTGTTTCTACTGGGAACATTTAAATTTATTTGTGCAAGTAAGTATGGGCAGTCGATTTCATGTCTAATAATTTTGAAAAGAATAGATAAGTCCGAGGATAAGTCTGACATAGTACGTCTTTTACTAAGTGGCATAATTTTAAATTGATTCCGAGTCGGCTGATGATTTTGGTCCAGAACGCGAATCTTGTTTTCAATGGCTTGGAATCTCAACAATCTATTTCGAACACTTTCTATCCTTTTTGAGTGTACGGCATATTGAGGATTCCAAATAGCTGAAGCAAAAGAAAGCTTGCTGTTGACGAATGCATAATATAACGAGATGATAGTCTCAGAATTATGAACATATTTTCCTTTTCTTTTTATGAACCCATCCATCCTGTTTGTCCCGTTGATCAATTTGTCTATATGACTATTAAAAGTCTATTTTGTGACCAGTGTGACGCCTAAATCTTTGATTTCGCTGATATATTCAAGGTTGTTATTGTTAATTTTGTAGGTATGCTGGATGAGATTTCTATTTCTTGAATATGTTATGGCAAAAACATTTGGTTGGGTTTGAAAAGAGACTATTATTGTCGCAATAATCAGCAAGCCTGTCAAGTTGAATTTTCAAGCAGTCATCGACATCTTTTACCAATGAAAATATTTTCAAGTCATCAGCATACAGTAGTATTCGACAATGTTCAAAACAGTTCTTTATATTATTTATGTAGATGATAAAGAATAATGGATCAAGGTGGCTACCCTGCGGAACACCGGTAACTTCTTTGAAGGTATGTGAATTGAATCCATTTACTGACACCATCATCTCCCTACTAGTTAGGACCAGATCCATTTTAACAGCGATCAGTGTTCACCGACCCCCGCCAGCCTTTCCACAAGAATAGAATGGTCTATCATATTGAATGCTTTGCTGAAGTCGGTGTACACAGTGTCTACCTGAATTCTTTCATAGAGCATCGGAAAGAAAATCAGGAAAACAATAAATTCGTCTCAATTTCTTTTTGGGAAAGAAATCGTGCTGCTCCTCCACAATTACGTTTCTCATGGATGCTAATATCTTTTGATAAACGATCGTCTCGAATAGCTTTGCGAAAATACATAATTTGCCAATTGGCCTATAGTTTTTTACCAAGTGTCTGTGTCCACTTTTGTATATCGGTGTAATAATTGCCACTTTCCATTGGGACGGAAAAGTGCTTGTTTCAAGTGATTTGTTTTTGTTAACGGATAACATAGAGTGTTTTTACAATTCCTTATGAATAGTCGTGAAATGTTGACAAGCCCAGGCGATTTGTTTCCGTCAAATGATGTAAGTATGGAAAGAACGGATTCCGCACTGATCGTCCCAATACAATTTGGTAAATCTTCGGTCAAATCTGGAGTATCAGTAATATCAACAAATACACTACTTGAAAATTCAGCGAATAGACAACTGACGGCTCGTCCGCCCTGAGCTATTGCATCGTCGTATCGTCGTAATGCATAGTTTGTGGTATACCAGTGTCAGTTGCTATGCAACCTTCCAAGTAATTTGAATGAAATTGGCAGTCAAAATCGACACTGACAATGGGTAAACACAAAATGACGGAGTTTTCAATGAAAAAATATATAAAATTGGTTTTATAACATTTGGAAAAAAAGTTATATGTTACATACGGCAGCAAATGTAGATTGATTTCCGCGGCAGATAGTTTATATCCGAGCGTAGCGAGGCTAGGATTTCAGCCTAGTAAAACAAACATATGACTATTGTTTAACTAGCCAGAGAGGCACAAGATTTAATAGCCTCGGCTACGCCTTGCCAATGAAACGCCAGCCGCGGCATTAAATCTGCTTTTCTGCCATAAGAATAATTTTTTATCCAAAATTTGTTCCAATTTCAAACTACTCCAAATAATCTATCACCTTGTGTTTACCCAGTCTCGATACTTCCGATTTCTTCAAGAAATCATCAAAATGCATAATAGAGCATTAAAAATTATATCCCCATAATGCGGATTCAGATTTGAGAAATTTCGAAACCATTTCGGGAGACGGGAGAAAAACAACTACTTTTCCAGCTAATGCCACGCAGAGCATTGAATTACATCCTTCTGAAATCTATCTGGGAAGGATAAAATATAATAGAAATTGAATCAGCCTATAATTTGGATCACGACGTTCATTTTGTTGATCAGTTTAGTATAAGAAGTAAAAACTCAGTCATTTCCAAAAATGTTCGAAAAATTAACAACAATGGTAGATGACGGGAGAAAAACAACTGCTTGTCTGCCTAATGACGTAGAGCATTGAATAAATCTCCCCGAAATCTATCTGGGAAGTGTAAAACATATATAACTTTGCATTTTGGATGACAGAAGCTGGAAACTTCTTGGTTTCTGGGTTTTCAAATAATATGAAGCAAATACACACCATCACGTTGTTATTGTTGTTGTGAATGTCGCCGGGATAAACGGGCTCGTTCGACTTGGTCCCGGCCGAATTGGGAGTCAAAGGATCATTGGCCGCGCTGGCCGGCAGCTCCCCGTTCTTGATCAGAATCTCCAAAACATCGTCGATGATCTGGCTCTTGATGTGGTTCTTCTTGTTCATCTGCTTCGTAGCCTCGTTGTACTGCGGAGGCGGCGGCTTGCTCTCCTCGCTGAACTCGATCTTGATCTGCGGCGCAACTTTCTGCTCCTCCAAAAACTCCGTCTTGATCACCGGAAAGCTCTTCGCCTTGCCCTGCTGCATCAGCTGATTGAAAACCATAGCCGCCTCGGCCCCGTTGAGTATCAAGCCCCCGGCGACGTTCTTCTGGTTGTGGAACGCGATCTGCTGCTGCTGCTGTATCCGCTGCTGCTCCTCGTTGATCTGCGCCTGCCTCGCCTGCAGCCCCTGCAGCTGCTTCATCTGCAGCGCGAAGTTCTCCTGCTGGCGCTGCTGCTGCTGTTGTTGCTGCCTGGCCTGCAGGTGCTTTTGCAGCGCCAGCATCTCGGCTTTGGGCTCTGCTCTTGTGGCAGCCTGCAGTTTCAGCTGCGACAAGGTGAGTTCTCGTTGCAGTTCCTCGATTTGCCTTTGCTGTTCTCTAACGATCTCTTCGTTGGATTTTTGCAGGGCTTGTTGGTAGGGATCCATTTGGGGAGCGGGGCTAACGGGGTCTAGGTCCATCCGCTCGTCGCAAGGGGCTTCCGGAGGGGAGTCTATGTCTTGGTAGAGAGGGGAATTGGTGCTGTGCACCGAGGAGTCTATAGAGCTGGGGTTTTGGTCGCTGAAAGGCCTCAGCCTCTCGATCAGCTGCGGTTTCGATCCAGACACAGGCAAGCTTCTGCGCTTCAGCTCGGCCTTGAGGTCGCTCACTTTCATGTCTTCCAGCCGCGCCGTTATCCTCGCTGCTGGAACAGAAGACTCAGAAGAGGTCGAAGGTGCTGGGGACAACTGCTGCATGTTCGAATGGCTGGTGTTGGTGCTGCTCGCGTTGCTGTTATCGCCGGAGCTGACTTTCTGCGAGGCGGGCAAGATGATCTGCGGGTACTTGTGCTGCAGCTGCAGCTGGAATTGCAGAAGGAGCGTTTGTTGCTTGAGCAGCAGGTCGTAGGAGCTCTCTTCTGGGTTGGCAGCGGGGTTGGGGTTCTTGTGTGCGCTCGGTGGACCTTTGTACTCGTGGAACTTGATGGTGCGCGCTTTCGGCAGCGATTTGCATTTGGACTTTTTGCGGTTCTTGTCTTTACTTGAAGATTCGGTCTTGATGGGTGAAGGGACGGCTCTGGCTAGTAAGGGCGGGGGTGCTGGAGATACCACAGAGGGTGCGGGGCTAGCGACGGACGACAGAGGGCTCAAGGACGAGGTGGAAGACACTATGGACACGGGAATGGACACTTGGGGAAGTAGGGGCGCGGCGACCGACCGACACAGGTCCGCGAACACGATTTCGCTGTCTTTACTTAACACTACGGTCCCTCCTTCGGAGGGCTGGATTAAGGAGACTACGATCCCCGCGGATTTGGCGGCGGTTTCTAGAACATCGCACGGACCGGGGCTCACGCGGCTGTCCCCCTCCGAGCTTTGCGAGTCCTCTTCGGGGTTGATGTAGTTCGAGGGCAGTTGCGGCCTGTGCAGCTGCCCCTCGCAGGTGGCCTTGTACGGTATCCGGCCGGTTTTCACGGCCTCCTCGATGGGCTCTTCGGTGTGGAGGATGTTCTTCTGGATGAGTTCCAGGGGGCCAGGTCGGTGGGAGAGTTGGTCGTTGAGGTGGTCGGCCAGTTTGGCCTTTTTGAGCATGCGCTGGCGCTCGGCGAGGCTGGGGTCCACGTGGCTCGGGTCCACTTCGAGGATATGCCTGCGCTCGAGTTCCTGTCGCGGAGGGCGCTGTTGGATTTTCGCCTTCAGCATGTCGCCGGTTTTGGCGCGCTCCAATTGGCGACGTTGGCCGTGGAAGGCGGCGGGGGTTTTGTGGGCTACAAGATTATGGAAATTAAGTCATGAAAACCGTCTATTCTTCTCAAAGTGGTCCACATTTTTTCAAAGAAAAATACAAAGAACACCAAGTCGGTCGACCACAAAATTATATGACACATAGTGTGACTAGTTTCGGTTCCATCAGCCATCTTCAGACACAAATTATAGTACCTGTAAAATATTGAAATTGCAGAGGAATAAGTTGCTGAGGATGAATATACCGATGATGCCAAGTGGAGATCACATCATTAAAAAACCGTGGGGTCGCACAATCCAAAAATCATCCCTGTAAAAAAATCATTGATTTTTGAACTGACTTAACAGCAAAAATATCCCAACAATCATCAAGTTCAACATTACCACAAAAGTTGGGCAAAAATATTATGAATTTAGTCAAACGAGTTTCACCTTAATGTGGTCATTGAGTAATAGACAAAAGTCTAGACAAATGACAATGGAACAAAATCGTTAGGTTCAGAGCGTTTTGAGTTGTGATAATGTAACAAACTAATGTCTGAAGAAGAACCATGAATTAATTACGAAATCGAATTGTACCTATAAATCTAAAGGAGAAGTACGTGATCGAGGTTGAAGATGTCTTTTGCTTCGCCCATTGAATTTATAATATTTTTGCCCAACTTTTGATCAAAGGTTGAACTTTATGATTGATGGGTTCCTTCGGCTGTTCAGTCAGTTGAAAAATCATTGATTTCTTTACCGTATTGATTTTTGGGTTGTACGACTTCACGGTTTTTTAAGAATTTCACTTCCACATGGCCGTATTGGTATGTTTTTCCTCAGCAACTTGGTCCTCTGTAATTTCAAATCTTTTCACAGGTGTCTGAAGATGGCTGTTTGGACTAAAACTAGTCCCACTTTCTGTGATATAATTTTGGTGTTTTTTGTGGTTTTTCTCTGAATTACAGAAATTAATCAGTGGCCTATAATGATGACGAATGATGGTTGTCTTTGACACGTTTCCAACCAGGGTCATTCGAAAAAACGGTCATCACTGAGTAGATACGTCCTTCTTATTATGTAGATCTGAGCATACCTCAACGTTGGAAGCTGTGTGGTTATGTTTTATTAGTTGTGAGGGATATGACAGATATGGTGATTGCCGCCATCAAAAATTAAGGTCCTGCCTTAAATTAATGAAAAATAGTATTTCTATTGATTTCAAAAAGTGAATCATGGCATCAGATACTATTTTATACAAGGAAAGATACAGGAAGCACGGGAGAACCCTCTTGTCACATATATGTGACACCTAGTATAGCGAACGTGTCGAGCAAAAACTGAATGTGTAATCTAGTTAGATGGAAAAACTCATAGAGACGAATCGGAATTTTTCATCTGTCGTCACCTTTCGGAACTAATTTTATTGAATATGCTCATAATTGGATAGAATGAAAATAAATTTATCCATAGTTTACAACAATGCTCATCGGGAATGATTCAATAGTGAATTCAAAATGAGTATAAAGAGCGGTATTTTCATAATCTAATATTATTTTCCTTCAACTGTGAAGTGGGGTCATTAGCAATGATTTATTAAAAAATTAATCAGGCCAAATTAAATAGATGTGCTTATATTAACCAGAATTAGATTCCCGGTTCAACTGGCATAATGAATTGTTGAAACTGATGCCCGTGCATTATTATCGCCTATGTACAGGGTGTCCCAACAATGCTTGATTTTTTGAGTTTTCCCTATTTCCAGAACAGGTAGAGAAAAACAGACCTAGGGGTCTAGAGCTTGATTTGTAACACATCGATTGGTGAAAACGGCATTCCGATATCACTGAACGTTTCCATCATGTAAACTACGAAATTCGTTATTTCGAAAAGAGGTATAAGCTTAGCTTGTATTGTGTGAAATTCCATTATCATACATTCTTATGTTGATTACTAGCAGTGTGAAAGAATTTAAAATGAATTATCCAAATTGATGTTCTGAGGAAATGAAAAAAAAAAGGAAGATTGGAAATTGCATAGTGATGTATCGAATTATTCGAAGATTGTACAAACATTTTAGCTTTTTTTGGCCATATTTTTATTTTGTTTATTTCTAAATATGAAAGCTGACAGAAAAAATACGCCCTAAGCCATAGCGTTGCTATATTAATTGTCCGATTTTGAAATAGTTAGTTGGGATTAGTTGGGCAGTAAAAATAATGAAACGGAAAAAGGAACTATATTATAAACAAACTGTCATACAAACTTAAGGTCCAAAGGAATTGTGGGAAATTCTGGAGAATCTTATAAACCAACAAATGAAAAAAGCGGAAATGTAAATACAAATGAAATTATAATCTTAGAGACTGTCTGTAGGTTAATCAATCGAGGAGGTGGTACATTCATTTTACTTGATTTTTGGGATTTTTTCTCCTCGTTTCTATAAAATAAAAATATGCGTATTATTTCAATATATTGGCAGTGGGACAAATCAGATGATCTGCCCCAAAATGTCACTGCGTTCAACAATTTTTTCTATCAGGGAGCCTATAATAGAAAAATCCAGTAGCTTGTCAGTGACACTTTGTTCGAAAAAATGTTTGAAGGAAAGAGATATTGAAAAAATATCGAATTTTTACTAATCTTGGGCTGAAAGACTTCGGTCAATGGCCTTTTGGGGTATATCCCTAATAAAGATGTTCTCTCTCTCTCTCCCCTTTACTAATCTTTGGACGTTTCGGGAGCAGATTCGTATATATACGTATATTTTTATTTTACAGAATCGAGGAGAGAAAATCCCAAAAATTAAGTGAAATAATCTTAGAGAATTTGACCATCAAAGACATATGTGAAATTCCAAATTCTCTGAATAATTTCTATATTGAGAGCATAGGGATATAGTTTCAAATATCAACTCATCTAACTACCCCATCACACCTGACACAATAACATATTGCACAACTTTAGAGTTTCATTTTCAATGCCCAACAAGGAGAGCACTGCATACATTAATATCGTTATCATAAAAAATTGCTATGATAAAATTGAAGAACAGTTGCTGAACCTCATTAATACATCACTAGAGACAAGCACTTTTCCCAATTACCTGAAAATTTCAACTATCATCCCAATACCGAAAATTACAAACCCACACAATGCTTCTGATTTGAGGCCAGTCAATATACTAAGCTCTATTGAAAAAATTCTCGAAAAGACAATTTTTGAACAATTAGTAGGCTTTGTAGAGGAAAATAAAATAGTTAACAATGTTCAGTCAGGTTTTCGAAGTAAGTATAGCTATGATCGAGATAGATTGATTGACAAACTAAGATGTGTTGGTATAAAAGATAAAGCATTGGAATCGCTAGCTAATTATTTGGATAACAGAAAACAGAAACTAAGGATTAATGATATATTCTCTGAAGAGATAGAAAATGATCATGGGTTCCACGGGGAAGTGTTCTTGGACCTTTGTTGTTTTTAATATACATTAATGACATACTCGAAGCAGCAGGAAACTGTAACATCTACTTGTTTGCAGATGACACTTCAATTTATTTTTCTACATCAGACCCAGCGCTTTTGGTATAAGCTCTCAAAAATTCAGTAAATCAAATACAAGAATGGTGCTGTGGAAATCTATTGAAAATCAATGGTATCAATAGAAACTAAATTCATGCTCATTGCTAATGAAAGGAATTATAATAGTTTTCTTGGGGAGAGAATGGAAATAAAAATGTGTGATGAAATAATCGAGCGGTAGAAAAGTCAAACACCTTGGTACAGGGTGATTCACCATAAATGTCCCCCCCTCTAGCTCACTCATTTTTGAACCGATTTGAAAATTTTAAAAATAATCTGAAATGATTTTTCAGAATTTTTTTTTCCCGTTGCATCAGAAAATACAGGGTGCTCGAAACAAACAATCTACAGAGTACAACTTGATTTTTTCAAATGGAACACCCTGTATTATATTGTGTTTTTAAATTCTTCCTGAAGAGCTGATTTCATCGATATATCACACTTGGGGTCTAGCGGAAATGATTACAGAAATATAGGGTGTTCAAAATCGAGATTTTTCAACTTTAAGATTTTTTTGTGTCGAAACTATTCATTATTGGTCAAAACGGCTTCTATATCCCTATCTCAACTTTTGATTTACTATCTACTGACATTTAATTGGAACATTTACAGGGTGGTTCAAGATTCATAATTCTGATCACCCTGTATCTGTTCCAATCATTAAATGTCAGTAGATAGTAAATCAAACGTTAAGATACGGACATGGAAGCCGTTTTGACCGATAATGAATAGTTTCGTCACCAAAAAATTCTAAAGTTGAAAAATCTCAATTTTGAACACCCTATATCTCTGTAATCATTCTTGCTAGACCCCAAGTGTGATGCATTGATCAAATCAGCTCTTCAGGGAGAATCTAAAAATACATTGAAAAATAGGGTGTTCCATTAAAAAAAATCAAATAGTACCCTGTAGGTCATTTGTTCCGAGCACCCTGTATTTTTTGATGTAGCGGAGAAAAACTTTATCGAAAATCAATTTAGATGATATTTCAAATTTTGAAATCTGTACAAAAATAACTGAGCTAGAGGGGGGGACATTTATGGTGAATCACCCTGTACTTGGTATTATAGTTGATTATAGACTAACTCTCAGAGAATATGCAGATTTTTTAATAAAATAGTTATTTATTATACAAGGGAAAAAAGTAGTAGATTTTAGCTCCAGGTTGTGTTGTCTCCCGACGCGTAGCGGAGGGAGACAAAAAACCGTGAGCTAAAATCTAATATTTTTCCCGTGTATAATACACTATTTTTTTCTGTGACAGAAGGAAGGACGAATTGGGAAGATATTACATTATTTCGAAATCTGAAAATTATCGACGTGAAATTTCAAGTTTTCAACAGTAGGGACACCTGCGTTTTATAGACATCTTTATCATTCTTTTGAAGTAATCAAATATCTGATGTCACTTCTGTCAGTTCAATTCTGTGATTTGATTTCAAAATTGCGAATTCAGTAGTTGTTTAGTAATATACGAAACCGGGAAGTCGAATGGAAGATAAAAGGACTTGCAGTTCTTTCTCGGAGACGGTATTATTGACTTATTTTTCGGAACTATAGCACAACAAAAGCCATTAACAGAGTATATATATGTGATATATATCCGGGAAAGAATTACTCACTTTTTTCCCACGGGAAAAAAGTAATTTATGAAAAGTGACATTTTATAACCTGCCAACAGAGAAGAAATGCCAAACTTTTTTCCCGTCACAGAAAAAACAATATTTTTAGTAAATTAAACTTTCTATGTAGATGTCTATATCTCAATCAATGATCCAAGGGTTATATACAACATTATCATATTTCCGCACCTCACTTACTGCTCAACTATTTTGTATTTACTAAACCAAAATCAAATATATACAGTGTGACCCATTTAAGATGGAAGCACCCTTATAAAACTTACATTTTTCAACCGATTGGAATGATTTTTTTTTTGTTAGGTAGATATTCAAAAAGTCTATTAGGACACCAAATATCATGAATAAATCTCCATTTCCAGGGCCAACTAATCTGATTTTTCAAGGTCAAAAATCTGAAAAAATTACTAGCGATTTTTTTAGAAAAAATCTGACTACACCACTGGATTTGTGACATTTTCAAATGGGTAACATGTAAATTACGTTGAAATGCGTCAATCAATAAAAAAGTTATAAAGGAATGAAATTTGAAAAATATGCCGTTTAATCAACCCACCAATTCATGTTCAGGAATTTTATGAAAATTCTGTATACTCCACTGGATTCAGGATGTCTTGAAATATTACTGATCACAGTTTCATCGAAATCTGTTCAGTAATAAAAATTGATGGGTTGATTAAACGGCATATTTTTCAAATTTCATTCCTTTATAACTTTTTTATTGATTGACGCATTTCAACGTAATTTACATGTTACCCATTTGAAAATGTCACAAATCCAGTGGTGTAGTCAGATTTTTTCTAAAAAAATCGCTAGTAATTTTTTTAGATTTTTGACCTTGGAAAATCAGATTAGTTGGCCCTGGAAATGGAGATTTATTCATGATATTTGGTTTCCTAATAGACTTTTTGAATATCTACCTAACAAAAAAAAATCATTCCAATCGGTTGAAAAATGTAAGTTTTATAAGGGTGCTTCCATCTTAAATGGGTCACACTGTAGATTTCAAAAATTACAGAACAGATCAATGCGCATAATACTTTCGTGCAATAGACGTAATCCTTCTACAATGTATAACAGACTAGTATGGTTGTCAGTTAAAGAATTGTATATATCAGGCACTCATTTTTGTACCAGATCTAGAAGAGATTTCCACATTCCCCAATTCCAGAAAAGATTCAAGGAAAACTCCATAAAAGTGAACACTCTCTCAATTATTTCAAAATCACTCTCTGAAAAACATTTGTCGGAGGGAAGTAATTCTAATGAGCATGATTGATATTATTTTATCTTATTTTTTTATTATATGGAATGTAGTGATGTTGTTTGACATATTTTTGTCTTGTATGCACAATGTATAATAATGATCAGAGCCTACTCATAGTATCTGCTGGGTGATTTTATCTGTCCTTTCGTGTCTCTAAATAAGATATTTAATAGCGGCGTCATGATTTGGGGCGTCTATTGTATAACCATCGTCTTATACTCACGCGGCATGATCCCTTGGGCGACCAGCTGGTCGAAGGGCCGGCGCAGCAGCAGCTTCACCTTGAGGGCTGCAAAAGAAAAGCAAAAGTGAACGAGGATCACACGGACACATACGGACGAGGCCGAGGGGCATGGCGATCGGAAGGTCGAACGACGGTCGCCGCGAAACGACCCCGCCAAGTATCGCAGTGGGCGGCGAGCTGGAGATAAGCGTGGGCAGCCGAGTCGCCCGCAAAAGAACCGGAAAACTGCCCCCAGCGGTCAATGCCGCGCTGGCGAGGTCGAAGGAAAGCGAAACCGATCGCACGTGCGGTGTGCGGGGCACATATTACACGGTGTACGGGAGAATCAGAGCTTCCGACGAGCCGGGGTCTCAAAGACTGAAGACCGTAGATCGCGAGCTACGGGTCCGGATATCGGACCATGGCCGTCCGCTTAGCATTCTTCCGGGGATAGCGGTTGGAACCACTGATATAAATATACTATCTAAACCACTATATGTACAGGGTGATTCAAACTTCCCGCCCTTCGCTCATAACAGGAAAAGTGAAACTGTAAATGAAAATTCGGCAGATGGGATTTGAATAGCTGTGTGTAAGGTATATTTTTCGTATTTAAACATATTTCAACTCTTTTCAAAATGGCGGAAATGACGTCAGAAAAGTAATTTTTTCCAGAAAGTCACCATTTTTTTCTCATATTCTGAAAAAACATATATTTTTAAACATTTTTCATCTCAAAACTTTTTTCTATCTTCATTTAGTTGATAGCTGTGGACTCCAAAGTTGTCATATTCAAATACACCTCAAATTACCCCTGTCGGGAAACAAATTGTTTTCCAGCAGACTTGACTTTTATTACGGCGGGATCATTTGAGGTTTATTTGAGAATGCCAACTGAACTGAATTATGTTAAATGAACGTTCCTGGTTACTACCAAAGGCGTACGATGGGGGCAAGTGACTGGTTGATCCCTCCTGTTAAGAATCTTCCAAAATTTTGATAAGTGCCGTGGGAAATAGGTGCGGCTAGGAAAAATTTTTCCCCAACTTTTTTCTAATTCCATTTTTGGCAATTTTTTTACAATTATTACAATTGCAACAAGTGCTCGAAAATGCTCGAAATGTTCACCGTTCACTTATTGACAGGAAAAAAACAGTTTTGGAATTCAATCCGAACGGCTTGGCAAATTGATAGAAAATCGAAAGGCCATCAAAACAAGGTACCACGTGCCACTCTTGAAGATTAATAAAAAAAGATATTGCTCACCTTTCTACCTGAATTTTACCCGACCTCGTAAGCTTGTTCCGTACAAAAGTTAAAGGAGGAGGGGGTAGGGAAGGACTTAGAAACATAATTTTTTCTGAGAAATTATTTTTTCGTCGACCTCTAGAAAGTCACATTTTGAGTTATATTTCCAAAGACAAGTACTGTCGTCTGTAGACACTAGCTTTTTGTCCGCTGCAGGGTTGCCAGTTCTACTGGATTTCCAGTAGATCTCCTGATTTGCATATTGATCTACTGAACTAACTACTGAAACATTTCATAACCTACTCAATAGCTGAAAGCTGATTACTAACTTACAGGTACGCACTAATGATTACTGTTAGTCGAAAGCCCTCTGCTACGAAAAATTAAATAAAATTTCTTTTGCACGAAATACAACTTTTTGTACTATTTTGGTATATCTACACGTGCATACAGCTAAGTATCCCTCATTTCTAGAAAAAACCGGAAGTCCGCCATATTGGATTGTAACGAGACCAAATCCGAAATGGTTGCTTATACAGTCTGTCCAAGATAAGGTTGAACAGCATTTGGGGATCTCGAAAACGGTAAGAGATACGAAATCGGTTAAATGGGGAAAAAGTTGCGCATTCGGAGGCTCATATCAAGAACCTTCGAAAATTTTGAAAATTATTTTGAGTTTTTGAGTTATATCGAAAAAAGTGAATTTTTGGAATTTCTATTTTATTTTTTTTCTCCGTTATTATTAGAGATACAGCAAAACTGAGAATACTTTTTCATAGCAACTTTTGATGACGGTCAACGTGGTGATACCGATTTTTTGATGCGACGTTTCGTATTCGTGGAACCATCATCAACTTTTGTTTTTTAAATACGGTCCTGATAATTTTTTCACAGATTCTAAAAGGTTTTTTTATTCTGAATTCAACCATGTATTATACAAGGTGGTTCATTTGTGTTTCGACCTATTTTTGGCCATCATCAATGTTTTTTCGAAACTCCAAAGGAAAAATGCCATCAGTTCCACTTATTTTGAAGGAAAATTAGTCAACACACTAATATCTCATCAACTGGTTTCAATCAACAACCCATTTCATTTTGCGGAAACAAAAATTCCATCCATACAAATTCAGAATATGTCAAGCGCTAAAACCAGGCGATGACGAAAGGCGCAAGACATTCTGTGAGTGGTATACCAGGAAATGTTAAAATTTTACAGATTTCTTTCGAACAATCATCTGGACTGATGAAAGCATGGTCACTAATCATGGTAGCTTCGATAGAAAAAATACACATTATTGTTCACGAGAAAATGAACATTTATACATTACAGCGAGACACCAACACCGTTTCGGCTTTCATATGTGGGTTGCAATATTTGGTACACGAATTATTGTTCCTTCTATTTACCATGAAACACAGACTTCCGAACGTTATAGAAATTCGCTTGAGAGTCATCATGAGGAAGCTCTGGATGATTTACCGATTGCGGAAGTTCAGAACTCTGTTGGTTTCAACAAGATGGCACTCCGGTACATAATTCCAGAGAAGTCCGTGCGTTTTTATCCCTTGGCCGGCGCGGTCGCCTGATTTGACACAGCTGGATTTTTTCTTAGGGGATATATCGAACTTTGTACACACAAATAACTTTGAGGATGAAGAAGAACTAAGGGACAGTGTCGTCGAAGCATTCAATAGAATAACCCCAGAAATGCTTAGCAATGTCTTAGAAACAACTGTGAGAAGAGGATATCTTTGTTCAGAAGATAATGGTTATCATTTTGAACATTTGTTATGAATGTCTCTGTAGGTATTGTCAAAGTTAAGTTGTTAAAGTAATTCGTGTAAGAATTCATCAACAATTTTAAACGCTGCATTGATCGAATGATGTAGTGAAATATTTTTTATTTCTGACTGGTATATTATAAGCTTATATCATCTTAGTTACACTATCAATTAGCAGGGTCATAACTCCCTTGGGATGTCATAGATGCTATAATTCCCTCTAGCTAAAATTAAATAAGAAATGCATAGCAACAACCACGCAATAACGTAGCAATAAGGAATCTCCTATTCGCGGTAGTCAAGATCATCATCTGACGTTCTGATGACATTGAAACTATACGGAAAAACATGTCTAACTACTCTAACTTCCAATCGGGAAGGTATCTAATGAATGAAATCAGTCAGAAATAAAATTATCTATGTATCACGGGAATTATAGAGCCTTAATAACCTCTGGCAATTGCTGTCCCTCGGGCCAGAGGCCCTCGGGACGCAAACTTTGCCATCGGTAATTAAGGCCCTCATAATTCCCTTAATACATAAATAACTATTATTCACTTTTCAGTATTGAATAACTAATCCATCAAGTTTGACACTAAATGATAAGAAATAAGTGGAACTGATGGCTTTTTTTCTTTTGGAAGTTCGAAAAAACATTGATGATGGATAGAAATAGGTCGAAACACACTCGAATCACCTTGTATAGTACATTGTTGAATTCAGAATACAAAAACCTTTCAGAACCTGTGAAAAAATTATCAGGACCGTATTTAAAAAACAAAAGTTGATGATGGTTCCACGAATACGAAACGTCGCATAAAAAAATCGGTATCACCACGTTAAACCTCATCAAAAGTTGCAATGAAAAAGTATTTTCAGTTTTTCTGTATCTCTGATAATAACGGAGAAAAAAAATAAAATAGAAATTCCAAAAATTCACTTTTTTCGATATAACTCGAAAACTAAAAATAATTTTCAAAATTTTCGAAGGCTCTTGATATGAGCCTCCGAATGCGCAACTTTTTCCCCATTTAAGCGACTTCGTATCTCCTACCGTTTCCGAGATCCCCATGCTGTTCAACCTTATCTTGGACAGACTGTATAACAGTACTAAATTTCAGAAAAATCCGTAAATGAATGCAGAGTTTACAAATTTGGTCCGATACCTTGTGTCACCCGGTATACGTCAATGAAGCCAAGCGGAGACTCGACCGCTATAGCCGCAATAATTTTTCCGTTTGGTTGTTGATAATAATTGAGAAGATGCCTTTTAACAAGTGATAATATAAATAAATTTTATTTCCTGTTCAGGGAAATAATAAACTCAGCATTTTAATAAAACATCTGTTCCCTTTTAGATTGTTCTGATTACTAATGATGAATTCTTTGAATCACAATGAAAAGTAGGTACTATTTATATATTTTTACACGTTCAGTTGTTCACCGGGATGCTTTGAATGAGAAATGATAACTTTTTAGCATAATTCTTGTTGTTCCAAATTTTTTTTTCGCAGTTGCATACTTCGTTAGTCCCAGCACTGGGACCAAACGCCCCATAAGTCGAAACTTGTGCGGGGTTAGATATACATACAAACACAAACATCCATGGCCTAACTAGGATTCGAACCTAGGTCATGGTGGGAGTCCCCATACGAACTCAGCGCCTTAACGCTCTCGACCATCGAGCCTCCAAAGGAAGATTTCTGATGGTGATCTAAGATTTTGAATTTTCTCCAAAAATAATCCTATTTGATAGAGATGAAAAACCTTGACGAATTTTAGAACTTTTCTGAAATTGACAGTTTCTTTAAAAAAAAAAAGGCAATTTATGAATGAAAAAGGGGAAGACTTAGGGTGGATTCATAAAACATTAATTTCACTACATTAAACATTATAAAAGATGGAGCATAGGCAAAAAACGATTGTAAAATGGACATTTTTACTCAATTTTCAATATTTTGTGGCCGCACAATTTTAACGATAAATTATCATCCCTCGAGGGGCCCGACCATCCTTAACTCAGTGACTGCATAATA